TTGGCAAAAAGTAGGGGAAAAATCTGTAACTTATCAATGAAAGATGACACCGTTGACATTTGGTGAATATCCTTTTTCAGCCTTTTTTAAATATATGTATATATTGTTATTATTGTTGGTTAGTTTCACTGAGTTGGTTCCAGCTCATAGCAACCCAAGGAGCAACTGGTAAGTTTGAATCACCAACCTTACGGTTCAAATTGACCTCAGTAGTCAAATGCTTATCCAAATAAACATATAGCTTTAAAAAAAACAAAACAAAAAAACACACAAGGAGCCTCCTTATTTCTTTAGCAGTATGATTTCTTCATCTTCCTGGTTCTGGGCTCTACTGATACAACCCCCCAGGCGCCACTGTAGGTAGAGGAAGGAGATGCTGGCTCTCAGGGGAAGCCACAAAGAAATGACACATGACACACAGGTGGGTGGGTAGGAGGGCTTAGACAACCCCCAGGATTGAAACTTGGTTTCCAGGTTTAGTCAGGAAGTCCAGGTGGGGCTACTGACAACAACCTATCCCCAGGGGAGCTTATAGGTACCTTCCCAGACTTGAGTCTAACTGCGGCTGGGTGGGGAAGGGAGTGGTCTTGTGCAAGAGGACAAACCACTCCTCATTCAGGGCTATTTGTTTAAGTGGGCAGGGAGGGGCTTGGGAGAAACAACCCAGTTTTTTGTCAGTGTTTGTTTGAAATGTTGGGACCATTATGGTTTGGGAGACAACTCCCAAATATGGGGAAGCCAGGGTGGGGACAAAAGAATGGATGTCCCACAGCTGAATGTCCAGGCAACCCTGGAAGCGGCAGGCTGGATGGGCGTTGTGGATGGGTTGGCACCTGCTAAGCTTCTGATGCAGCACTGCAGGATCAGCACTGGACTTCGAACTACAAGGTCAGCAGTTCAAACTCACTGGCTTCTCCTCTGAAACCTTATACGGGGTTGCTATGAGTCGGAACAGACGCCAGGACACTTAAGAACAAGAAGCTAAACTCAGTACTGAGATTGGTGCTATGCTGGAAGGTGGGCCCAGGACCGCCAGGTCCCTTCCCTTTTCACAAGATAGAATCACCAATTGTTACGTGAAATCTCTTGATTCTTTCAATCTTGGCAACTAACTCAAGAAATTAAACTACTGTAGGGGTCAAAACGGAGCCCTGGGATTGTGCTATAGGATGATCACTGGACTGCTAACCTCAAGGTTGGCAGTTCAAATTCAACAGCTGCTCCTAGGAAACCCTATACAGGGTTACTATGAGTTGGAATTGATTTAACAGCACACAAGGGGTTAATTACAATAAAATAAAAGTGCATGTTTCTAGGCTGCTAGTGTGCAACTTTATTAATTTTTACGCATACTGACCATTTACCTTTTACACAGGTTATTTGGCCATTTGAATTTGAAATGTTTGTCCTTCACCCTGTGGTGAGTTTTAGCGATATGGCCTGCTAACCTGTCCCAGGACCTCCTGCCAGCTCCCCTCCCTTAAAGCAGAGTTTGGATCTCTTTTCCCAGTTCATATCGTTAAGTGCCCACCATTATGGCCTCTAGCCACTGATCTCCCAGCTTTCCCTCTTACTGGTTGGGACAAACCGAACAACTCTCTGGTACCCAAATTAAATAAGCCCATGATCTCCACTGATCAGTTTGGGTACAAGTTTATGTCTGAAACACCCTCACACCCACCTGCTCATCTCTTTATACCTCCTCCATGAAATAATTTCTCAACCTCTTCCTTCATCTTCATTGCTGTATCAGCCTCTGCTGTAATTTAACAAGCAGGACCCAGCCTGGAAAATACTGATATAAATAAGGCCCAATCTCTGCCTCTAGGAGCCTCCCATCAGATGAAGGGGACACACACACACACACAAACCAAACCAGTGGTCTTAGTACTCATCTGACACATGGTGACCCACATGTGTCAGAGTAGAATTGTGATCTGTAGTTTTTAACAGCTATTTCCCAAAAGCAGATCACCAGACCTTTCTTCTGAGGTGCCTCTAGGTGGACTTGAACCTCCAATTTTTTGATTAGCAACTGAGCATGTTAACTGTACCACTCAGGGACTCCAGATATGTACTGACATGGCCCACATGTATGCAGCAGGTGAGGGAAATGACCTCTGGCTGGAGCTAACAAAGGCTTTTTGAGTTGGATTGGAGGTAAGTCGGAGCTTTCCATGGGCAAAAGGGCACTTGAGGGAGAGGCAACCATCTGTGCAAAAGCACAGAATTTGCAGGTTCTGAGAAAGTGGAGTCATTGGGGAAGATATGGTACAGTGGCTGGTGGGGGAAGTCAGAGATCAGGAGTGGTTTCAGGACTAAGTTTTGTTACAGTATTTACTTCCTGTGTTATCCCTGCTGCCAGCATTCCAGCGTGTAAACTCCAGAGCAGGAGCTGAATGTCAGCTTTCATTGCTCCATACCAAACACCTGTCTGTTGTCATCCTGCTCCTAAACGTGTGCATAGAGAACAGAGTCTGGTGGTGAGAACGCCCCCTAATGGCTCCCCTACAGGATCACAGCTTCCAGAGTCAGAGCCGCCCCAGCACATCCCTGTAGCTATTACTAGGGATGGCACTGTAATAAATAACAGTGCCTGGCATTATCTCCCTTGCTCTTTAGCCCACCCTGAGTGTTCACAATAGTGGACACTATTATGCACTTACTGTTTTGACCACTGTTCAAGACACTGGGATACAGAATCTAATGAGTCATTAATCGCCCATCTCTGAAAGTGCTTATAAAGAATTGATAATGGGTGTTAAGACTGTGAAGCATGGGTGAGTGGTCAGCAAAAGTAGGGTGCTAGAAGGGAAAATATGGTGCCTGAGGTGCCAAAGCAAGGTAATGAGCCCCACCCCCTGGTATCCACTCAGCATTTAGTGAATGGCTACTGATATGGCACTGTAGGATAAATACTGGACCACAAGGTCAGTTTGAACAGCAAAGTCGGTGGTTCAAACTCACCAGTGGCTCCTTGGAAGCCCTATACAGGGTTACTATGAGTTGGAATCAACTCGATGGAGAGTCTGGATGGGGTGCTGGAGACTCAGATGGGACACAGGTCTCTAACTCACATCCAAGGGGAAACCAGGGAAATGAAGCAAGGGGGTGCTCTGTGCCGATTCTGTTCGCAGACACAGGCATGTGAAAAACAGGTTGAGTGCAGGAGGGTTTCATGAATAAGAGTTCAGGCTAAGGATGAGAGATGGGGATGTGGTCTAGGCTGACAACACACATACAAACAGAGATATGAAAATCTGCCCATCCTCTGCTTCTCAATCTGATCTGGTGCTCGCCTTGAGAAGTGTACAGTTAAGACAAGAATTCATTGAACTGTCCACTAACTACTTCTGGTACGAATGTTCATGTAGGCTGTACTTCAAAGACACACACTGTAGCGTTTGTACCCAATTCTCCCATTCTAGCTCTAGGGCCCATGGAACTCAATCTGGCTGTCAGTCTCACCAGTAAAGTGAGGATAGTACTACTACTCATATCACAGGGCTGCATGCAATCAGTAACTTGAGCTCATATACTGCTTTCTATGGGCTAAGAACTATTGCTTGTCTTGACAAATTTCTAATTAAATGTGTTATTTATTACAATAGCAGTACCTGACACCATGTAGGAGCTCTACAAATTATTGAATAAACGAATGAATGAGGTAGGAGAGGAGGTAATGAGGGGAAGGTCAAAGAACAAAATTCAACTAAAGGCTGCTGGGAGTGTACAGCTGCAAAGAAGCCAAGGTTTCTGTGGGTGGGACACGAGAGCTGGGGATCTGGGCCAGATGGGAGAGTCCTGGTGTGGCACTGTAGGATACACACTGGACTGCTAACTGCAAAGTCAGCTGTTCAAACTCACTAGCTGTAACTCAGAAACCCTATACAGGATTGCTGAGTCAGAACTGAGGGACAGAACTTAACATGAACACACCAAAGGGAGTAGGGGCAAGATTCAAATCTGTAACTCCTCTCCAGCCCCATCCATACATGAAGCTACTGAAAAGGCTAGTGAGGCTCAGACCAGGAGGAAATGCTACACAGTAACTTGGTGGCCTCCTAGGTCTCCCGCCCCATTGCCCCTTCTCCCTCCCCTCTGGTGGTCAACTTTGGTACTTCTCTCCACCCTTAGGGGCTGGGGCAGTTTCAGGAAAGGTGGGAAAACCTGTTGCACAGGGTGGTCAAAGCCTGAACCGGTTGGACAGGGCAGTTTCCCCCCATCCCCCCCAGCAACTATGTCCCTTTCCTGGCCCACAGAATGGAGGCAGAAGCCCACAGACCAAATAATTTTATTACAATGTGGGTGGACTGGAGCCCATGGAAAAGTGGAGAGGGGGTGCAGATGTGATGTAGGAGAGCCCAGGGAAGGTGAAGGTTCATCCTCTCCTACCCTGGCCCTTCTTCTGGTTCTGCCAGCCAGGCCAGGGAAGCCAGGTGGGAGGGAAGAGGAAGAGATGAAGCTAAGTTCAGACAACAGCCACCTTTCACTCTTCACCCACCCCCTCGGCATTAAATAAACAAAAAGCAACTCTTTACAGCACAAAATATACATAGGCCGTCCTTCCCCACAGCCCTTGACTGGGAAGGGGAAACGGGACAACTTTGGAGGAGAGGGTTTGGGAGCCTCCAGCTTCTGACACTACCCTAGGTCCCTCCCCACTCTGAGCTGGCCCTGGAATAAGGACAGTTTGAACAAAGAAAATCTCGACTTCCTCTGAAATCCTAGGCAGGTCCATCTGGTTCAAGGCTTTTCTCGGCTTGGCTTTTCTCATCACAGATCTTTGAGCTTCCTCAGAAACACTTGAGGCTGAGTTTAGCTGAGACACCTCCCCGAGGGGACAGAGCCCTGGCTCTGAGCAGAGTGGGCCCAGGGCACAGGCATGAGGAATCTGGTCCCAAAGTTTTACCCAGCGCATGCCTCCATCTTGGCAAGGAGGAAGCACAGCTAGAAGAGCTGGTGAGCGCCCCAGCCAAAGGGCCAAGGCAGGTCTTGGTTCAGAGGGGTCGGGTCGTGTGGTTATAGACCAGGTGCTCCGTGTCCTCAGTGGTGGAGACTGTGGAGCTGGCAGGGGTCGGGGGCGGGGGGTGGTGGCGGTGGTGGTGGCTACGGAAGCTCTTCCTCTGGTTCTTGAAGAAGCAGTAACCCAGGATGGCTACCATCACCACGATGCAGGTGGTCAGGAGAACTGCAATGGCTACCTCCACAGAGCCTGGGAGTAGAAGGGGCAGAATGAGGGCCTCCCAGTCCTGACACCCACCCCAACACTGTATCCAAGGGACCAAGTCAGGATGGGTGCCAACTGTAGAAGGCCATGGGCATTCAATTCAGACCTCTAGCCAAGGAGCAGCCTGACAACTCCATCAGGAACTCAGAAGGCGAGATATTAGTGGGCCTTAGGTGTAGATTCTTGGTGTGGCGCCATAGGATCAGCACTGGACTGCTAACTACAAGGTCTGCAGTTCAAACCCACCAGTCGCTCCTCAGAAACCCTATACCAGGTTGCTATGAGTTGGAACTGACTGGAAGGTACACAACAACAGGTCTAGGCTCTGGATAGCTGGCTCTGCTACTTGAAGGAGAGGAGCTCTGGTAGCGTAGTGGTTACGAATCTGGCTGCTAATCTCACGGTCAGCAGTTTGAAACTACCAGCTGTTCCGCGGGAGAAAGATGAGGCTTTCTACTCCTGTAAAGATTTACAGTCTTGGAAATCCTACACAGGGTCGCTATAAGTAGGAACCGACTACACGGGCACATAACAATAACAACTACTACAACTACTTGAAGGTAGCTTGGGGGAAGGCCTTGGAAATTTTCATTTTTCAATGGCAAACACCCAACATGCATTCTGTTATAGTTCCCTCCCTTGGCCATGACAGGCATCTCTATTTTATTGTGGTACTCTGTCCCTATAAGAAACCTTAGGATCCTTCTCCAACACAGCTGTTGTTTAGCTACCACCTGGTGTGGCGCTGTGGGCTAATGCATCAGACTGCAAAGTCCTTTGAATTGCAAGGTCAATGGTTCAAGCTCACCAACTGCTCCTTGGAAATCCTAACACAGGGTCGCTAAGGGTCGGAATCAACTCCAGGGCACTTAACAACAACAAAAACAATCCTATTAAGTTGATCCCTGAATTGGTATCTGCTGGTCAACCTCAGGGACAGGAAAGGACAGAACTTACCTACATTGGGGATGGGGTTTTCTCGCCGCAGACCAAACACATCCTTCTCTGTAAAGTGATGGGGAGAGAGATCAGGAAACACTAAGAGCTCTGGGATTCAGCTGCTCCCCAGTGCCCCAGACTCCCTTTAATGAACTGAACTGTGTCCCTCACAAAATATGTGTTTATCCTAACCCCTATATCTGTGGATGTGATTCCATTTGAAAATAGAGGGTTCTTATGGGACCATATCAGTGTGGAGCATGTCCTAAGTCTAATTACATCTGAGCTATAAAAAGAGCAAATCACACAAGAGCAAGAACAGAAATGGAGGAAGACAGATATCATATGAAGATCACCATGGAACTGAAGAAATGCCAAGACTGAAAGAAACAAGGCTCTTCCCCCAGAGCTGACAACACCATAGCTGGTACCTTGAACTTAGACTTTTAGTCTCCTAAACTGTGAGAAAACAAATTTCTGTTCTTGAAAGTCACTCACTGTGGTATTCCTGTTACAGCAACATGAGGCAATGAAGATACCCTCCATTCCCATCTTCCCCCACTCCCATGCCAGGCACTCTGGGGACAGAGGTGACCAGCCTGGGCCTTGGGACAGAGCAGAGGACTTTAGCTAAGCCCTTCCTCTCTCATCTTCACCACCCCACACGCCCTCCACCCAGCTCACTGGAGATGCCTTGACAGGACTCAAGACACTGTTGCTCTTCCTCAAAGTTGTTCTTGTTGCCATGACAACCACCATAGGTAAAGCGGGCGCAGCGTTCGATGAAGGGGTTGTAGTACCATCTGGGGATGTTCTCCTGACAGAGTCCAGTGTCTGGCAGGTCCACACAGTGCCCTGGGGGAACAGCAGGCAAAGAGGGCTGAGTGAGTCCAGAGGTCTCCCTGTACCATCCAACCAGGCTACCTCCCACCTTCCAACTCTGCCCTGGGCTCAGAGGGGGCTGTGGCTCATGGGGATCTCAGGAGCCCAGGGCAGTTTTGCCAGAAGTAAAGGACACTAATCCTGGACACAGAAGTAAAGAAACTGATTCACAAAGTTATTTCCTTTTCAATTTCCTCTTCAGTTTTTGGGAAGAGGTCTCAACTTTCTAACATAGACTGATCTACCTTTTTTACCAAGAGGATGGGCCTCATGGTCTGAGCTTTGGCAAGCAATCATGTCTAGCTAAAATTGATGAACACTGCTTTATTATACTCATTTTTCTCATTATTCTCCATTAGTGGCAAGTAATAGTGGCTTTCCATCCTTTAAAAAATACATTGTGTTACTTTATAGAAAAAAATATTAAGTAAACACCAGATGACTGCTGTGTGGGCATAGTGTTAAGACCATGGCTGAGGCTTGGGCAATGAGAGCCAGAGAAGGGAGCCGGGAAGCTAGTCAGGGAACAGGTTGCTCACCTGGAGAGTGAGCTCACCCTGGCCTCCTTCTGCCTGGCAGTGCCAACATCTATCTGCCCTGGCCCTCAGGGGGTAGGGGGTGCTTACCTTTGTCACTGGGGAAACGGAAGCTCTGGAGCTCATCGAAGCCACTGGTGTCTGCAGAGATGAAAGGCCAGAGGCGCAGACCCAATGAGGGTTTCCCATGGGGGCAGAGCAGAGCTATCAGGACTGCCCCCGCTGCTGTCCAACCCTCTCCCTTCCCCAGGCCTCACATTTTTCACAGGCAGTCTCATCAGAGGAATCAGGACAGTCGGGGCTGGCGTCACACTCCAGGAAACTGTCGATGCAGCAGCCATTGCTGCAGCGGAACTGGGTGGTCTGACAGGTGTCAGAGCATACTGGGTGGGGGACGTGATGGTGGATGACGTCAGGCAGTATTGTCAGGCTCTGCCTTTATACAGCATCCTGACCTGGGCCCTCTTCCCAGTCTACCACCACCCGGACCTCTCCTACACACATGCTGGGTGGACCCTGGCAGGAATATGCTGGGATGGAGGGGGCAGGTGTTAGTGGACCCTCCACACAGGGCAGGAATGCTCAGGGGTGTGGATATATGGATTGGATACTTGGCAAGGGTATGGGAAAGAGGGAAAGGAGCAAAGCCCACCTGGATGATGCCTTTCCACAGGGGGGCCTGAGAAAGAGAACAGAGACATGAGAGGAGATAGATAGGCCAGGCCCCAGCAGGAACAAGATGATAGGGGGATGGGCTGGAAATGAGACTCCCACTACCCATTCCCTGGAAAGCAGTGAGGAGACCACCTACCCTGGGGAGAGACACGCTCGCCCCAAAGCTGCCTTCAAAGGCCCACCTTGCACATCCCGGCAGGCTAGCTTGCACTCTTCCTCCCTAAGGTAGTTATTCTTGTTGCCCAAGCAACCTCCATAAACAAAACTCTTGCAGATCTGTTCCGAAGGGTCGTAGTACCAGCGGGGAAAGGAGCTCCGGCAGCGGCCCACCTTGTAGGATGCCAGGCAATATTCTGGGGGGAAAGGAGTGTGTGAGAAGGGGTTTCTGGGCCAGACAGTGTGGCTCCTGGGACTGCCTCCCATTCCCCTCCCTCACCTTCTGTCTGTTTGGCAGACAGCACAGTGACCGTAACATTGGCAGTGTTGTCTGGCTGGCCGGAGTTTGTCACTCTCAGTTGGAACAAGTAGATGCCTTCCTTGAGTCCCCATAGCGTCACATGGTCTGGGTCATTTTTCTAGATACAGGAGTGGCCATGAGGTGGGACACCACCTGGCACGGCTGGGCTGTCCCAGGCTCTCCCAGCCACTTACACTTCTGGGGAGAGTAGAGGGACTGGACATTCAATGCATCTTCAATGTCTATCACCCCCACCCTGTCCCGGCCACTGGCTGATCTATCCTTTGGAGTGCAGCACCTTACCTCTACTTTGATGGACGTGGCACCTTGTAGTAGGTGCCAATCTGTATTCTTCTCACTCTTCAGCACCAGGGGTTCCTGGGGTTGTACCTTTATGTTCATGCCTGCCCAGCCCTTGAGGACCCGGGGGCCTGGGAAGAAGGGAGATTAGGTTGACTTCCACTATGGACCTGGTGCTTCCTGGGGGCCAGGGAATCAATGTGGGCCAGATCTAGATTCTGCATGGGGTAAAGGCTGGAGCTCACAATTAAACCATCTTTTGGCTCTTTATGCAGACATACTATGTCTTTATGTTGATGACTTAATGCTGTAAAATCCAACAGCAACTCTGTGGGAAAAAGATGAAGCTGTCTGTAAAGACTGATTGTTAGTTTCAGAAACCCTACATTGGGTTGTTAGGAATTAGAATCGACTCCACAGTGGTGGATTCAGTATTTTGGTTTGGGCTGTGTTCATTGCTTTAAAAAAGTTTAAGT